GAGATATTGTCTCAAAAAAAAGAAAAAAAGAAAAAAAAAAGGAAAACAGGGCTGGCTAGCTCAATTTTTTGGTACAGCACTTGGTTAGCAGTATAAAAGCCTAGGCTCAGGTCCCAGTGATACAAAGATAAACGCACAGCAGAGTGAGGAGTTCAAATGCTCCCCTTCTGTCCAGGATTTCCCTCCTCGTCCTGGTGGAGGGCACTCAGCTCCCTTTTCTTTCCCTGAGGTTAAGCCTATTTCCAGGCTTTGCTCTATTGGTAGGTGCTCCATTTGCTCACTGTGGCAGGTCAGGGAAGTGATATCCTGGGGGTCCTAGGACCATGCTTCTTCCTTTGCTACCCCTTTTTTTAAAAAAATGCTTATTATTTTTATGAGCGTGTGTGTGTGTGTGTGTGTGTGTGTGTGTGTGTGTGTGTGTGCACTGTGTGTGTTCAGTGACAGTGGAGGTCAGAAGCGGACACTGGAGAAGGACATTGGTGGCAGTGGCAGTGATACACACACCTTTAATCCCAGCACTCAGGAGGCAGAGAAAGGCGGATTTCTGAGTCTGAAGCCAGCCTGGTCTACAGAGTGAGTTCCAGGACAGCCAGGCCTACATGAAGAGACCTGTCTCGAAAAAACTGAAAAAGAAGAGGGCATTGGTTCCTCTGGAAGTGGAATTATAGCCTGTTGTACTATGTGGGTGCTGGGAACTGAACCCAGGTCCTCTGGAAGAGCAGCAAGTTGTTCCCAGCTGCTGAGCCACCCTTTACAACCGGCATAACAGAGCAAAGAGCAGGAGTAGCTACAGGGCGAAGATTCAGGAATGCCTTCCTGGCCCTGTCTTTACCCGCTTACCCCACCCCTACCTTTCACCCTTGTCCCTTCCCACCAACATCAAGACACTGAGCGGGTCATTTTCTCATGCTCAGCCTGGTCCTGCAGGCATGTCCTATGTCACACTCAGAGATTGCTGGCAGATGTCTGTGGGGGCTGGGAGAAGCTGGGTTACAATCCCCAAGGACATCATTAAGGCACAGAAGTACTGGAGGGCCTTGGAGACCAGGGCACCAGGGGAGAACATGATGAAAACATGTTTTGTACAACACGTGTCCTTTCCTCGTCCCTCCTCCCCTCCTTTGCCCACCTCCTCCCTCCAGGTGCCCTGGGCGAAGGCTGGTGCTGGCCCTGCCTCGGTGATTGTTCAGTTTTACCCTTGTACCGGGTCTGTCTGTGCTCGCCAGCTGGTTGGCTCTGCTGGTGTGTAAGTCTGTATGTGGAAGGTCCTCGCCAGCCCCAGGGCTGTCCGGATCTCTGTGTAGAATAAACGCCTTGGTTTTGAAGCCTAACATTTTAGGGCTGCTCTGCACTGCTCTAAGAATTTCTTTCCTGGCAGATACCGTTCATGATTTCAGCAAATTCGTATTGAACAGCCTATGTGCTAAGCAGTATGCTAAGCCCTGGGAAGACTTATATATGGTCCCTGCCCTTGTTGGCTCCAAGGCTGCTGGAGGTGTCAGGTGTTAACTAACTAGGGCAATCAGGACCAGAAGCGCTGCAGGAAGAAGGGTGTGTTTACACCCAGCCCGTGACGAGAGCTTTCTGGGAAGAAGAAAGGGAGAGAGGAGGGTAATGAAAGAGTATGTTCAAAGATCCTGGGGCTGAGGTCTTAGATCTCAGTCATATCACTCTGATAAAAATAAGAGGGGGTCCCTATTCCTATGCCACCCCCATGTCCAATACGCCACAAAGAAGGGACAGTGAAAGCCTCCTCATGGCCAAAGCTGATCCTAGGACACACGGTAATGCTGTGCTGGAATGACTTCGTGTATTCCTTCTCCTTGTCCTAAAGGGTGAAACCGAGACACAGAAAGGGAAGAATTACAGGCTTAGGCTTGAGATTACCATACAGAAATCAAGGCTCCAAATTGGCAAATTCTCCAGCATGAAGAATCTTGCGTTTGCCTGGCTGGAGCCTCCTGGGGAGAAAGCTTTCTCCTCCCTGCACACTCCGCCTCCTGCAGATCCAGCCCTGACCTGCCCTACTCCCTGGAGCTACCCTGTCTGCCTCCACAGTCCCTGCAGTGTGTATGAGGTGAGTGCTCCAGGTGTCTGCCAGCAGCGCGTAGGCGGGTGCAGCTGTCTGTTTTGCACAGAACCTGCCTAGGGGAGGGAGGATCTTCTCTCTCCGCCTCCATCCATTGCCCAGGTACCCAAGTTCTAAGGGTCTTCCTTCAACTGCTTCTTTTCAATTCAGTGCTTGGGATCAGACCCAGGGCCTTGTGTTTAGTATGGGCTCCAGCACAGAGCTACATACCAGTTGCTCAGGTTCTTCCTTCTGAAGAAAAGAAAAGAATGGAGGGCCCTTTGGAGGAGGGGATGGGCCTCTCTGTGACCATGCCTCCTCTGGAGGTGGCAGAGGTCATGGGACCAATGGGGTTAAGCTCCATCCCTGCTCTGACCTACTTTTCTACCTGTGCCCACATCCCCTGAGGCCAGGCTGTTGGGTGGGGCCAGCCTGGCACCCCTGCACCCACACCTGGGACTTCCCCTGATTGGAAACTCCCAGGACCCAGGCCTCCTCCTGCTCTGCCAACTCCCACCAACAGCCTGGGTTCAGCTCACCCATCCCTTGTCGGATCTCTGCCAGTCTCCTGCCAAACTACATCTAGATACCCAAACCAAGGGACCCCAACCCTGTGGGTCCACCCGTTACAGTCCTCTTTGATATCTGGCTGCCCGCCATCTGAAGATTTTTTTTTTTTGAAGATGTGGGGAAGGGGAGAGGGGACTTGCAGGAAGCTGCCCTTTGTTGAGCACTTACTGTGTGCCCACATAATCTCATGTGCATAATCTCATTTAATCCACACCAATGGGATCCAGAGAGCTCACAGTTACCATCCTCAGTCTATAGACGAGGGAGCTGAGCAGCTGTGTGACTTGCCCAATGTCACACTCGAGGACACGGCTGAGCCAAGATGAGAACCCGGGTATTGGCAGTCCTGAGCTCTCCCGGTCATGGCCGACGTTCTGTGCCTGTTATAGTATAGCCTCCCACTTCTCTCTCCATGGGACAAGAGACTTGGGAACTAAGGACAAGCTAACGCAGCAAGCATTTATTAATCATCTTATAGACACCAGGCACTGACAGGTGCCAGAAGTAAAGAGGTCACTGTCCCCAGGGTCTGTGGGAGAGATGTGTATACAGACTAGGACAGGTCTAACTCCAGGGTCCCAAATGAGCCTTGGACTTGCTATGTAGCCTTAGATGACCTTGAACGTCTGGTCCTGAATGCAGAGTTACAGGTATGCAGCATCGTTTATGTGGTGATAGAGACCAGAGGGAACCCAGGGCTTTATATATGACAAGTGAGCAGTCTACCAGCAGTTATATTTCCCAGCACAGGAAGAGTATTTTTCTTTTTGTCTTGTGTGTGTGTGTGTGTGTGTGTGTGTGTGTGTGTGTGTTTGTGTGTGGTGTATATGTATATGTATGTGTGTATATGTGCATATGTGTATATATGTGTGTGTATGTGTGTATATAAATGTGTGTGTGAGTGTGTGTGTGTGTATATGTATGTATGTGTGTATGTGTGTATATGTGCATATGTGTATATATGTGTGTGTATGTGTGTGTGGTATGTGTGTATATAAATGTGTGTGTGTGTGTGTGTGTGTGTGTGTGTGTGTGTGTGTATTTGTGTTTCAAGACAGGGTGTCTCTGTGTAGCTCTAGCTGTCCTGGAACTCATTCTGTAGACCAGGCTGGTGTGGAACTCACAGAGATCCGCCTTCCTCTGCCTCCTGAGTGCTGGAATCAAAGGTGTGCGCCACCACCGCCTGACTCCCATTCTATGTTTTTAAAACAGTCTCTCAATGACCTGGAGCTTCCCAAGTAGGTTAGGTTGGCTGGCCAGTGGGTTCTCAACCTCCTTTTCCATTAGTCCTGCCTTAGCACCTAGTGTCTCTAAACAACTCAATTTTTTTTTTACTTACTATATAGCCCAGGCTAGCCTCAAACTCATAATCTCCCTGCCTCAGTTTCTCAAGGGCAAGCATCGAATTTGCAGTCATACCTGGCTCCATTTCCCTTGTTTCTGGGCTTTGGTAATAGAACAGTAGTGTAACTCTTTTCTCTCGTTTTGCTCAACTTTTCTGTGAGACTTTTTTTTTTCACCTTTAAAATTTGTATGTGTATAGGCTGTTTGTCTGCATATATGTGCACCATGTGAGTGCCTGGTGCCCACAGAGGCCAGAAGAGGGTGTTGGATCCCCTGGGATGGGAGTGACAGACAGTTGTGAGCCACCATGTGGATGCTGGGAACTGAACCCGGGTCCTCTGGGAGAGCAGCCAGTGCTCTTAACCCCTGAGCCATCTCTCTGGCCCTTTTGCACATTCTTCAGCACGACAGTTTCTGGAGAATACTGGCCTGAGTCCAAGCGTATGTTCAATTTTCTTTTTTGTTGGTGTTGGTTTTAGTTTTGCTTTGTTGGAAGCAGGGTTTTGGGTATGTAGCACAAACCGACTTCGAACAGGCAGTGTATACTCCTGCCTCAGCTCCCAAACATTATAAGCATGTGCCACCACATCCCTCAGGTTCAGTTGTATCAGACAATGCCAAGCTGTTTACCAGATGGTTATATTAGTCCCCTAGTACCTATAATCCTGTAACTGGGGAGGTCAAAACAGGGGTTCAGAAGTTCAAGGTCATTAGCTACATAATGATTTTGAAGCTACCTAAACTACAGAAGACCCTGTCTCAAAAAACAAAAACAAGTTAAAAAATAGGTAACAATAAATTCTAACAGGGTCAAGAATAGCAACAAGAAGCCCCCCAGACTTTGTTATCTCAAACCATCTGTGGTTATTCCTTTTTACTTGAGTAAAATCCAAGTCCCTGCAAGCAGTTGGTGCACACGCCTTTAATCCCAGCACTCTGGGAGGCAGAGACAGGGATCTCTGTGAGTTCAAGGCCAGCCTGGTCTGCAGAGCGAGTTTCAGGACAGTCAGAAACGTTACACAGAGAAACCCTGTCTCAAAAACACAAAACAAAACAAAAGATCCAAGTCCCTACCTTGACTCACAAGCCGTCCTTGGTGGGGCCTCTCCACCTTAATCTCTGACCTGTGACCTGTGTCTTGCACTCTGTGGAATGCTCTTCCACTGGAAATTTCCATGGCTTGTTGTCTCACTTCCTTCCAGTCTTACTCCAAAGACGCCTCGCATTAGGACTGCAATCTCCAATAAGAATAAGGGAGCCCCCAGATCTGCTCTGCAGCACCACATTAAAGAAGGGGAGCAGGCAGAGGACAGGTTTATAACCTCCCCTCCCCTCCCCTCCCCTCCCCTTCCCTCCACT